CACTATCTGCAATACGACTTTATGCCAGAGGAGGGCATCAGATCCCACTATAGATGGTTGTGAGCCACCATGTGGTTCTGGGAATTGAACTCAGAACCTCTGGGAGAGCAGAGTCATCTCTCCAGCCCCCACCCCTACCCCTGGAATACTTTTACCCATAAGTCCCCAGTAAACTGTACTCTGTCCAGGCCTGGGTCTGTTCACCTTTCTTCAGTCTCCTAGCACCTTGGGCCAGTTCTCACACACAAGGACCCGGCTTTCCAAAGCAGATAACCATGTAAGCTTCACCAGAGAAGGACTGTGTGCACTTTGGCCAGAGGAACCTGGTGTTGATGGAGGCCTCAGGCCATTGGTTGGGCTGTTGTGAAAAGTCTTTCCCTGGGGAGATGAGAACATCTGGCCCTTCCTCCCAAGGTCCCGACACAAACCGAAATACTGTTTCAGCACAGTTCACCCTGGGGAACCAGTGAATTTACTGGGCTTACTTACAGAGCGCTGGTGACCCCAAAGCAGCTGCACTGGAACGTCTCCACCCAGCATGGATGATGCCCCCCCTCCCCCCCGTAGCTGCAGAGGGAAGCCGTCCTCCCTCGTCCTCCACAGTCTGTATACTCTCGCCCTTTCTAGAGACCTCATGCATTTAGGGCAGAGTTGCCTGGGAGGAGGGGCCAGGAATTCGGGTGAGGGTGCAGTGACCCTCCCGGTGTCCTTCTGATCTCATGAAGATGGTAGCACTTTGGCTCATAGGATAATGGCTTATAACACAGGCAGAACACACATGGTGAGTCTGGGAAAATAGTTCTCCCAGAACCCTTCTTGGCAGGCTGGTTCCACAAGATCCAGTTCTCATTGCCACATGACCTTTGACTCTTGACCTCTCTGGATCTTCTCCTTGTGCCTAATGAGATGTTAACCTCTGTCCTGTCCCTTCATCGGTCTTTGTGGGTTTAAGTGCATCTGCATCTAAATATGGCCTGTGCTTGTCTTTCTGGGTGGCGGCTAATTGTCTGTATCCACTGACACCCCTCTTCCAGCACCGAAAGGTGGAGAAATGTGAGCTGAGTCCTACTGTTGGACTGGAATTCCTTTCACACACACAGCTGACATCCCACCATGTACCACAGGCGGGGACTCCACCACCTGACAACAGGAAACAGAGTCTGGTTAAAATCAAGGCGTGTGTTAAGAGGTGAACCAGGAGGGATGGGAAAATTGGGAGTCACAGCCAAGTAGTCACCGCAAAAATAATGCCACCTGCGTTTGCCTGTCAAGAACTTTCTACATTCCTGGTTTGGTCCTGGGAGGGAAGAGGTTAGAGGTCACAGGAATTCAAGACCCAAAGAAGGGAACAGAAGTAGAAGAGTTTCTTAAGCGTTTCTGGCACAGGCTACATCTGCTGTAACTTCTGGTCCTGCCTTCTCATGGAGGAATGGGAAGGTGCTACAGTCATTGTCTGCCACAAGACTGATGCCGGAGCGGAGACTCGGGGGGTCAGGGTTTTTGGTCTAGGAGAGTGGTTCTCAACGTATAGGTCTTGACCCATTGGGGTTGAACGGTCCTTTCACAGGGGTCACATATCAGATATCCTGCATATCAGATATTTGCATTTGATTCATAACAGTAGCAAACATACAGTTATGAAGTAGCAACAAAAATAATTTTATAGTTTGGAGTCACCACAACATGAAGAACTGTATTAGAGGGTCGCAGCATTAGGAAGGTTGAGACCCACTGGTCTAGGGTGATGTAACGAGCACTTAAAGAGGACTTGAGCCTGGGGTGTCGGGGTCATGGCTGTGCTCCTGACTGCCATCAATGCTCACGTGACTTGTCTCTCCCCTCCTCCCCAGAGCATTCATGGGAGAGTTGCTTCATTGTGGGATGTCACAGGGATCCCCTGTATGGAAGCCAGAGCCGTCCCCAGCAGGAGCCTGGCCTCCTGTTCTGGGACAAGGACAAGGGGCAGGGCAGCAAGTAGAACTTGAAACAGAGCCAAGGCCAGTGGTTTCCAGGACGGACCCTGGCCTTCGAATCCCTTCCTCACCGCCCACCTCTTCCCATGCCGCCTCAGCTCTGCGCCCCAGCTTTCTTCTGTAGGCTAACTAGGCAACCCTTTCACCTGGTTCTTGTGGCTCCTCAGTGTCTGGAGGAGACGCAGCTGGAGACCGTGCTTGTCCAGGTCAGGGTTCAGGTGATGAACAGTTGTCATCCTGCAGAGCGCGGGAGCCAGCCGGGAGTCAGGACCCGGGACCCAATTCCGTGAAGTTTTGCTCAGTGGCTCCTCCTGCCTTCCTCCTGATGAGGCGGGGAAAGAAAACCTGTGCGGGTCCTGCGGCGCCCTGGCCCCACCCTCCGCCCGGCAGATGCCCACCTTACCCTGCCTTACTGGCAGGCACAGAGGCACCCCAGCGTCTCCGTCTGCCTTTGCCAAGCGGCCGCGGGTTCCGGGCACCCTCCCCGCGTGCCTTGGGGCTGGCACTTAGAATCCACGTGATTTCTCGGCAGCGGCGGCGGGTTCCATGAACAAGCCAACAGCGCTCAGTGGCCACTTTCAGTTTCGTGCAGAGCGCGGCGGAGCAGGAGCGGAGTCGGTGAGTTACCTGCCCAGGTGGGGGCGCGGATGGAGATTATGGGTTCGGATTCTGCGCCGATGAGGGGTGCCAGAGGCCGGGCGTATGGACACATGGACAGATGGGCGGGTGGTCACTGGTGGCTTAGCAAATGCAGTCAGCCACTCAGCAGTTTGGGGGCCACAGAAAGTGGCAAGTTGGGGAGCGACTCAGTTTGGGGAGTGTGCTATATGTCTGCGCGCCCCTTCTTCTGGTGCCGCACCAGTCATCCTCTGGAGCTGGCCTTTCTTGCTTTTTTTCCCCTTTTCCTTTTCAACTTCCATTGCCTTATTAATGATCACAGAAGTCCCCTGTTTGTTACACACGACTCCGAATTTTCAGCCCCAAACAACAACAACCCTTTCATTACACAGTAGAAGAGATGAGTTTGGTTGAGCCTTGACAACTTGCTGTTTTTATAGAAGAACGCCTCCTCCTGCCAGCCTCCAACAGTCGCCAACCTCAGGTTTTTCACCAGCGGCTTTGTTTTGAAACAAATGCCAGATAGAGAATCTCAACAGAAATATCTCAGAGTGTACGAAAAGACAGGAATCCTTAATATATATAATATATATATATATAGAGAGAGAATATTGCGTTAAAAAAAACCCAACTATTCTTTAACATCATCATTTCTATTTCTAATGATCATTGAAACCCACCATCACAAGGGGTAGTCTTTTGTTCCTGGCCTCCCACGTTGCCATGTGGGTTTCAAACCATTTTCTCACTCAGAAAAGCCGGAGCTGGGAGTTGCAGGAGCGGCCATTTGGGACAGTCCTGCAGAGCCTTGGGTCTTCAGTCCTGTTTGCGTGTGTTGCTGGGATTCTTCTGAAAAGGTGGTGTGGGGGGCTTTGTATATAAAAAGGTCTTTAGAAAACTGACTTCCCATGATTGGGAAGAAGGCCAGGGAATGGTGAAGATGGGTGTAGCCAAGCCATATCTGGAACGTCCTCTTTCCGAGTCACTTTCTTTCTCTCCGAAGGACAAGGAAACCTGGAAAACCACCAGCTTCTAGCCCAGTGGTAGGTCAGACCCTGGGTTGAGTTCCCAGCACCACAAAAACAAGGCACCAGGCCTGTTCTCCCACCAGAGAACAGAGCAGGGAGGCAGCCGGTGACTTGAAGTTTGTAAGGCTCCTGCTGGGTGCTTCCTTCAGACCAGTCTCCAGAGTTTATGCCTGTCTGCCCTGTCTCCAGAACCAGCCCCCACCTGTCCTGGAGTGGGGACCCCCTGGGGCCCTCAGCACTGTGCACTTGCTGGATGACCATGAGCTAACAATTACATGTCTTGGAAGCTTGAGTTCCCATCTATAATACAGGCATAATGGAGAGTTCAAATTTTGTCTCCTGGATTCAATGACACAAAGCAGAAATAGTGCTTGGCCACAAGATCAACGAGCTTTGGTTCCTGATAGGACAAATGCAGAAGCTTAGGGAATGCCCCAGTCTGCGGGGCCTAAGGTCCTGACTTCCCCCAAGGCACAGGTCAGCCTGGTCTCAGAAGCTAAGTGTGATCAGGCCTAGGTAGCTCTTGGATGGCAAAGTTTGCTTAGGCTGGTCCCAGGCTAGCTGGAGAGCGGCAGGGCTTGGCCAGTGTCCTTGTACCCTAGCACACCTCCCTCTCTCCTCTGAAGAGAACCCAACAAAACTTTGGAGAATGTCTTCTCCCCTGTGTTGGGCAGTGTGTTGGGTCCCTTAAGGAAGGCATGAAGTCCTGACCTCCACTGCCTCTGAATGTGACCTTATTTGGACATAAGGTGGCTGCAGACAGTTAAGAGGAGGTAGTGGTGGGGCCCAGCACAACTTCTGCCTGGAAATAGGGGAGAGCAGCATGTCAAAACAGACACCTTGGGGCAGGCAGCCATCTTGGGGAGGCAAGGACAGCAGGCACAAGCCGAGAAATGTCCAAAATCCCAGCAACCACCCCAACTGGAAGAAGGGGGGCTCCTTTCCTAGTGCTGTGAAGGGCCTCTGCCCACTCCTGGGTGCAGACTTCCAGGTTGCAGCCAGCAGAGAGCCAGGCACTACTGTTTCCGTCAGTTCTTGCTGGGACTGTTACCACATCATCTCAGCATCACTCCTCAGTCACCTGCAGAGAACTGGGCTGAGGAAGTGCAAACACTTAAGAAATTTTAGGGGAGGGGTGTGGCTTAGAAGTCAAGAGTTTGCCTGGCTTGCAGAAGATTTGGGGTCTATCCTTACCACAGAAGTCAAGCAAAAACCTCTTTGTAGGTGTTCTCGGGGGTGCAAAGCATGGTCTCTCTTTGCCAGATCTGTTCCTGTGAGTGTAGTTGATAGCCTAAACCCTGTTTGGCTGGAACTAATTCTGTGGAAGAAACATAATTTAGAAGCAAAACAGAATAGATCCTACTGGCTGCTGGGGCAGGAGACTCATAGAACAGGATCTCTGGCCTTGACAGGCCCTCAGAGAATCCTGTGTAAGGCAGGCGGAAGCGGGAAGCAGGTGCCGCCCACTACTTGTGGGACTTGCCCCCCATAAATGGGTGTGATTGTGTAACTGGCACGTTAGCTTCAGTCTCTAGGTCCCCGAAAGCTGGGAGAGTTGTTGTAGTCCCCATTCTTCTCTGGAGGGGACCCTGAGTCTCCTTTCTGTGGATCTTGGAGATGAGGGTGGCGGGCTCAGTTTTCCTGGTCACCTGTGACTGCAGTCTTCCTCCTCTCTGTCACAGTCATTGTCTCGAGCCAAGGACATAACCGCGTCTCTGGGTTGGAGGCCGGGGGAAACCTGATTTAACTGGTTCTTCCTGTTGAAGCCAGACTGAACAACATCCCAGGTGCTGCTTGGATCACTCCTCTGTCACTCCTCCACGGGTTCTTCTCCACAGGGGCTTTACCACCCTCCACTGGCACCCACCCTGGTGAAGGGAACCACATGGAGCGGATATGCGGAGGCCTCTAGCACTAGGTTGTCCCATGTGTGTACCCATATTTTAATGGGCTCAGATGTTTTTTTTAAAAAAAAACAAAATCTCACTTGTTAAACTAAATAGTATGGACAACATTAAAACAAAACCAAGTCCCAGGCATGGTAGCATGCACCCAGTACTTAGGAGGCTGAGGCAGAAGAAGGCTTATGAGAGGTGGGGCCCAGACGGACCTATGTGGTGAGACCCTGTCTCCAAATTTTTTTTAAATAAATCATTTAATTTAGTTAAGTAATTAATATATTCATCTAATCACCCAGTGTCATTGGGTTTCTGTGTCTTCTTCCAGAGTCTAACCAGGCCTTTACAGACAAGAGTATCCAGTGTTTTCTCTGCACAGTTAGTTTCATTAAATAGACTTTAGATTATGCACATATATATATATGTATACAAATAAACAGACATGTACATATGTGTTCCATACCCATATGCACATATACACACATGTATTCCCTCTCTTATGACGAGAATGTACTGTATGGTGGGCACACAAGGTTTTTTTTTGTTTAATGCAATAAATAATCTTTATTTTCTCTCTATATTTATTATTTTGCTGCTAGAGATCAAACGCAGGGCCTTGGGCATGACAAGTGAGTGGTTTCCCACTGAGTCATGTTTTCAGCTGTCTTTATGGATGTATACTCTGTGAATAGAGAGACCTGTTTATGCAAGTATATCCTGTACTTTGACCATATAATAAATGCATAAAGTAATATGTATATTATTTTATACATCTATATAAAAATCCAGGATGCACAAATGAAAGAAAACATTCAATATCTGTCTTTCTGAGTCTGTCTTGTGTTCACTTAATCTGGTGATCTCTAGTTGTGTCTATTTTCTTGCAAACACCATCATTTACTTTTCTTTATCAGTGAACAAAATACCATTTTGCATGTGTATGTGTATGTTTGTATGTGTGTGTATGTATGTGTATGTATGTGTGTGTGTGTGTGTGTGTGTGTGTGTGTGTACTACATTTTCTTTATCGATTCCTCTGTTGACAGAACACCCAAGCTGATTCCACAACTTGACTATTGTGAGATGCTGCCCTAACATGAATATCCAAGTATCTCTGGGGTATATGGGTTTGGAGTCCTTCAGGTATTCAGTAAGTGGTACAGTTGGGTCATATGGTAATTCTATTATTATTATTATTATGGTTTTTTTTTTTGGTTTTTCAAGACAGGGTTTCTCTATGTAGCTTTGTGCCTTTCCTTGATCTCACTCTGGTGTTTGTTTGTTTTTCTGAAGTGCCTCTGTATTAATTTCTAACTGGCTAAGCTAATTTTATACTCTCAGTGACTACACACACACACACACACACACACACACACACACACACACACACACACACTTCTTTATTCTTGAATCCTCAAAGGACTTGATGTTTTCTGAATGAGAGCCATTCTGACTGCGGTGAGATGGCATTCATTGTTGTTTTGGCGTGAATTCTGGTGGCTGAGGAATTGAACCTTCCTTGAATGCCTGTTGGTCTTTGGTACTTCAGCTTCTGGAGCTGTGCTCATTTTCTTAGTTTGTTGATTGTGTTGTTTGGTTTTCTAGTATTTAGTGTTTTGAGTTCTTTATACATTCTAGCTATTAATCTGCTGCCACACGTACAGGTGAGAAAGCTTGTCTCCTGTCAGGTTTTGTTTTTGTTTGTTTGTTTGTTTTTACTTAATTGTTTCTTTGGTTGCACAGAGGCTTTTACATTTCGGATGAGCCTAGTTTTCAGTTGCTAGTATTGATTCCCATGCTAGCAGAATTCTTTTCAGAAAGCCTTTGCCTAAAGCCGTATCTTGAAGTGTTTGGTTTGTGTTTTCTCTAGTCATTTATTTCAGAATTCAGGTCTTTCATTAAAGTCTTCGTTCCAATGCTAATTGATTTCTGTGTGAGG